GGTTTAAAAGGTCAATGTGTCAACAATTTGTCGGCGGTTGTAGGTAACCGAGTTGTTGTCAGGGAGCAAACTGGTGTAGAACTTCTGGTTAAGAATATCACAGTTCTATTGCCGTCACTCCACTGACTCAGACACCTGACATTGTTATACTATTATATGTTGTTGTGAAAGGCAACCAACGATGCATTGTATGATAAATTGTATCATGACACCAAGATAAGAAACTCATTACAGATGTCTCAGCCTTTACATAATCAAAAGCCCGAGAAAAAAAATCCCAATAAAGCTAACTGAAAGGTGACGAACTGTATTGTGGCGGGCTCGGTAAGATTTGCTCAGCAGGCTCGATTGCCACGTTTCTTCCCCGTCCTCGAGACGATCGTAGAGTGGATTCGAGAATACGGCTGAAACAACCTCGTTGTCACTGTACGTTCAAAGAGGGCACTTAAGCGCATGTCCGAAGCAATCAGCTGGGTAAAGGCAAGTTCAGCAGCAATCTTAATTGCGCTTTGTGAAAGTGAGCTTCAGGGAATTAGTATGTTCAACCGCACAACAAGTTACATCTCAACATATTGTATTATCTTCAGTTCAATTCATTATGAAATAATCAGCCCAGTCAAGTAAAGTAAGCCAAACAGGAGATTGAGCTGAGCGGTTTTTTGAGGAATCATGATCATATCTCCATGGAGACATAGAGACGAGAAATGAACAGCCAGTGGGGCTGTTACGAAAGGGAATAGTAGAGTCCAAGAAGAATTCAAGGCCAGGATACACAGTACAACATATGGACCAATCAGAAGTAAGCAGTACAGAACGCAAGCATACTGCTTGCCAAGTAGAATGGCCAACGTCACAGCTCCTGATGATTTATCACTCTCCAGATCACGTGTGTTGTTCCTGAAGAGAGGGAAAGGACAATTTTAAATACAATTGAGTTTCAGCCTGAGAACAACTCATGTCGGAGATACAATTGGTATGAGGAATCATGTGAGGGGGTAGGGAATTGCGTTCATGTACGATGTCGTGCATAATGATAGTTATGTCAGGTATGACTTGCAGATAAATAAAGGGGCAAGTTTCTAAAGAAACTGTGGTGCTGCGTCGGTGGGAGAGTATAGCAGGTAATTGAGTGTTAACAACTGGGTTGAAAACGTAAATTAGCCACCGTAAAGGGTAAAAAAGCTGACGTTTCGAGCGTTAGCCCTTCGTCAGCTCTGACGAAGGGCTAACGCTCGAAACGTCAGCTTTTTTACCCTTTACGATGGCTAATTTACGTTTTCAACCCAGTTGTTAACACTAAATGACTTACAGATAGCTCGGCTGTTTGCCATATACACATCATAAGTGGCAAACGGCAAATAGATGGTTTTCTGATGTACATGTCTGCCTCGTGTGTATGAGTTTCGCGTTCGCCTCGCGCGCGGAACACGACAATATAGTCATGTACACGACGTAATAGTCATGTTCTGAGTATATTAAAACGTACAGTTGAATTGAATGGGACCTGAATAACCTGTTACTATTTACTTACCCGTGTAGAATGGCTTCTGTGTTCAGTGCCAAGGGTAATGCATAGGCAATAATTCCCAATGAAATTTCACCGGTTTGAATTAGGTAAGCGAACACCGTAGTCAGAGCACCAAACGTAAGAAAGATCAGGATATCACCAAGTGCCATGTATTTTAAGCCGATTCCTCCGGTGTAAATAAACGAACTCAGCACACCGCATAGAAACAGTGCAATCAAAGGCACAGTGTCTTCACCTGAGCGGAGATAAATGGCAATAAAGCACACGATTCTCATTACATAGAACTCCGTGATACAAGCGACAAGATCATTTGGTGAAAGCAATTTATCGACCAGAGTTTTATCGTCAGAATCCTTTGTATCAAAACCGTTGATAAAGTCATAGTAAGTGTTCACCAAATTTCCAGCGCCGTGAATAAATAAAACTGTCGCGATGGTAAAGATCGCTTGGATAATGTCGATACTTTTGTTTTCTTTCCACACGAGGCAAAGTCCAAGCAAAGTACTTGTTATGGACGCCGAGAAAGACCACGGACGAACGGCCAAAATTATACTTGTAAGCTTTTGTGACCATCGTTGCCTGCTGAAGTAATTCATGATTTGATCCTTTGAGGATTTTAAAGATCGGAAAGAAACAATGTAACAAAGTAACGATCTGTCAAAGGACTATTATCTGCTTACATCACTATGTGGCTGAATTTGATTCGCACTTGTCTAATGATTTCAATAGCTTACACAGCTGTCGACGGAAGTAAACCTACCGGAGCAATATCCTGTTTTGCAAGAAGGGGAATAACGCTTCTCCTGGGGAAAAATAAATCGACTTTTGAGGAAAATAAGCGACAATTAGCAGAAAAAGAAACATGCAAAGAAGAAACCAGTTCAACAGGCGTATATTTAAGAAAATCTAAAAGATCTGGAAATAGATATCTTTATTTCTAAAATCCAAAATTTATAACAAACGTACAAGGTCGTAAGGCGCAATCCATTTGACCCTAGATCAGAAATGGAGTCACAGAGTTTCCCGAAGAAACACGCTTGAGAAGATCTCTATCTTTGAAATATTTTTTATCGCATCTTAAACGTGGACTGTTGGCATTAACTCAGTCAGGAGATTTTCGCAGTCGTGATGAAGGACATTGGTACCTAGCATACACAAGGAATCAGTTTTGTCACATGGATCGGCCCTGTGGAGCTCACACGACTCCGTGGGACTAAGCCATGCAATTATTAGATTTAAAAAGTATTGTATTTGAATGATCACCTCCTGAAACGGAGGAAAGTCGCCAAGTTTACATGCCATGCAGGATATCGAAAAGAAAAGCACGCTAGAAACAAAAGAAGAAATGATAACTAATCGCGTTGGTCTTCAAGTAACGGAAAGACTATCAACCAAAGAATATCCCCGACAGTCGTTCATAGATCTACTGACGAGTCAAACTTGAATTTTAAAATACGTTTAGGACTTAACACATAGGACTGAAGTGGTTGTACGTACACTTCACAAGTTGACCCGAGGATCTGGAGAGAAATTTTTTAAAACTGTAAAATTTTTCGGTTTCGATAACTAGAATCGTTACTGAAACATCACAACAAACTGAAGCTTGTGTCGGGACCAGACAGTTTATTAAATTTATTTAACCAACGTTCATTAAACATTAGACCAAAACATCAAAGGTATTCGATGGATACTCTAAAACAACAGTCAAGTTATCAGGAATAAATTACAAACACCAATGATGAAATATAGAAACAATCAAAACTTTCTATCATGTGGTTGGTAGAGAAACAAAAATTTCTTAGAAGCTAAAGAAAACTTTTTCCTTGCTTGCTGGATTGTTAATAACACGTGCACCTAAGCGGTAATATACTAAAGAAATTTTGCAGTTAAAACGTGCTAGCGTGGTGCATAGCCATTAGCTCTATTCAAGTCCGATGAATTGCTTGCTGAACGTATTGCTCAATCCTTAATGAGGACTAACATGACTGTAAACATATCATATGCGTGTAATGCGGTCGAAGAAAGAAATATAAAATCGATCTATATGGGAGCTAGTCATTATGTTGAATAATGGTTGTAAACATATGAAAATCATATGTGTGCACTGCGGTTGAAGAAACGAGTATAGAATCGATCCTCGCTGTTATGAACACTACTGAACTAGTAGTTGAAATAAGGCCTGTAAAAAGTTCCCAGTTGGCTTGTTAGCTCAGTTGGTAGAGCGCTGCACTGGTATCACAGAGGTCGTGGGTTCAAATCCTGTATGGGCCTGAATTTTTTTCAGGCCTTATTTCAACTACTAGTTGAGTAGTGTTCATAGCTGCGAGGAGGAGTTACATGTAAACCGCCTGTGCCCAGTCCAAACCTCTCCGTTATCGACGTTTAGATTCATATAAAATAGTCAATTTATTTTGGTTTGATGCAAGTAGAACCCATCTTTGCAACAATTAAAAGCAACATGAAAGTTATAATAAGAGTGAACAGTAGATGTGTTTGTCACTGATTGATCCAACTCATGGTCCGTTGCATATAAACTGCGTCTTTGTTGATTCTACTTCAATGAACTAGGGCAAACAGAGAGGATTTTAATAAACGTGACAGAAAACGTGACAAGCTATCATCCAATATCAGTCGAGTTTGCATTAATTATTTAGCATATCGCTTTGCATTTACGTGATTAACGAGCTAACTTTCCGACAGGAAACTAAAGCTTTGCAGAGGCGTGATTCGAAGTAACGAAAATGGCAAAAATTATTACTGTTTTTGGAGCTACTGGAGGGCAAGGTGGAGGAGTAGTTTTTGCGCTGCTCAAAGCAATTTCTAGAGGAGAACCCTACGCTATCCGCGCCGTGACGAGGAAGCCAGATGGAGAAAAGGCTAAACAACTGAAGATTCAAGGCTGTGAGGTTGTGGTATGTGATATGGACAACAAAGGATCCGTGGAACAGGCAATCAAAGGCTCCTACGGAGTTTTCCTGGTGACAAACTACTGGGAACATTTTAGTATGGAGAAAGAAGTAGAACAAGGTAAACGAGTCATCGACGTGTGCGAAGCGCTTGGAGTGAAGCATTTGATTTACAGTGGGTTGGAAAATGTGAAGAAAGCGATTGGAATTGAGTGTGGTGAGTAATATGTTGTGAGTTTCAAAATTCGTGGCCCGCTGAGCACCGTGAAGTTGTGATTAATACAAATATCAACCGAGCGATCTGGATGGTGCTCCGACAAACTCGTTTTTGAAAAAAATATTACATTTCCTGCAGATAAATATCGGTGGCAGTTATAATCTGTTTCAAAATTCTACGGGACGGAGCGAAGAACTGTAGTGTACCGGAAAATTAACTAAATGAATTGTTACGGGCGAGCAAAAATTTAGAGAATCTGCTTTGTCATGGTGCAAAAATTGGTCCTCGATTCTATTGTTATTTGAGTTTTTGTAATTAGTATGTCACATCGAGGACATTTGACATCGTGTTTTTATTCCTTTTTTTTATTTCAAGATGATTCATTTGGTCAAGTAAAACGAATATCGCGTTTCCCAAGAGTATTTGCTAAAGCAAAGAAGCTTGGTGTTGACATATTCTGCGCACGAGAACAGTGTTCCGGTTGAGTTGAAAACGTAAATTGGCCACCGTAAAGAGTTTAAAGGCTGACGTTTCGTCTATCGCTCCGACGAAGGGCCAAGCGTTTGAAACATCAGCCTTTAGATTATTTACGTTGGCCAAGTAAGGTTTTTAACTCAGTTGATGACACTAAATGACCTTTTATACTCTCTCACAGACACAGCACTACAGTTTCCTTAGAAACTTACCCCCTTCATTCATAGTGTTCCGGTTGATTGACTTATCAATTAATGGCCCGTAGGGAGAAAAGAGAGGTTGTTAGTACTTCGTTACTTTTGTTTTCTTCGGCCCTCGAAAAAAGATTTGATATGAGCCTGAATATACGTACTTTCCTTGATGATTTACGAACGAATATCATGTTTACTCCGACCATATTTCATTCGCAAATGAACATTGAGTCTTCTCACTCACAGCCCTGAATCGATTAATAATCGGGAGTGCTACGCAACAAAACAGAGAAATAGGCAGTTTAGACTGCGTGTTGCCACTGATATAGCGTAGTTTTTTATGGCACTGAAAAGACAAAAACAACACGACGCCCGAAATCTTCTGACGATGTAAAATGTCGAAATAAAGTTTTTCCTGCGACAAACAAACCTTGTGGTGTAACAACTGTCTTTGCCTCCTATTGTCACTTCCTCCACTGCCGCATTACGATTGCGTTCCCTTGCGCCCTTCGTAGTGGACAGGGGTAATGGAGGTTCTGGGAACGAGATCACACTCGTCATCGCTAATGCAAATGAAATTTGCTATCTTACTCTGGAAGCCAGTTATCCAGACATCTACCGAGCAGCAAGCAATAAGGCAAATCAGATGCCTGTATTGGCTGAGGCAGTTTGTATGCTCTCATCCGGTCCTTGGGCCACGCGACTCACCGAAATGATGACTTAGTCGTTATTGAAAAATAACAACGATTATTTGCTCCTTCTTCTTCTCCTTTTTCAGCTCACTTTGATGGTAAAGGCATGGTTGAAGAATACCTCCACACAAAAAAGCTCAAAGAACGCTTGCCTTTTACCATAGTACGCTTCCCGTTCTATTACAACAACCTGGTATCGTTATTTACACCTCGGAAAAAGGACGATGGTACTTTACTATACGATATTCCGATGGAAGGTGTTGCCATGGATGGAATAGACGTCACACAAGGCGGAGAATGTGTCTATGGTAAAAGAAACTCCTTTGTTCATTGTTTTCCTTTTTTTTCCTACTACTCGCGCTCTTGCAGTTTGATTTTTGATCCATCATATTTGTCACAGGCATTTTGGAGAGCCCAGACTGTTACCGTTTCAAAACCATTGGTCTGAGTGGAGACAAGATTACAATCCAGCAATATTGTGAGACACTGACCAAACATTTAAAGGAAAAAGGCTTAAAATTTGAGGTTAGCTGAAATGTCAGTCTGATTTAATATAAGGGAGGCTTCAATAGTAAAACATGTTGGGTTTGCTTGGGTTTGTACGCATTGCGCACCTATCATTTAATTCGCGCCAGGAATAGTGAGATCAAGAGATGTTAAGAATTAAACCCTATCCATGTACATCTTGGAAGACTTTTAGTGGCATAACATCTCACAAGGAAAGAACTCCCCTTTCTGACACTGAGGCCGACGGCTTGCTCTTATTGTGATCTGTGCGCCTGTGGAAAGACACAGCATCGGTACTCCTTAACTTTGAAGTCTGGAAAAGTCACAGCGTCATTCGAAAAAATGTAATCACTGCAATTAAAACAATTACAGCCCATTTCATCCTGCTGAAGATGAGTCTAATCTTAGAAGAAGTTGTTCACATCAACTGTAAACACTAAGAATGGAACTAGTAAAACTTACAGATTGGGTCCACACCGAGGTGATTAACTGGGACAACCTTGACTCATTCCACGGACTATCCTCCAAAACTAAAAAGCCAGTAGCTTTCTAAATGCTGTAGTTCTAGACCTATCTAAGGCTGTCTATGACCAACTGAATCCGCATCATCTACTGCGGCAAGAACTAATTAACATTGGTGTTACCACTTCCCACACTAAATAGATTAGATCTTACGTCACAAATACGTCACAAATACGTCACAAGTCAGTCACAGCAGTCGGAGATAAAAATGCCCGTCTAAGCTGCTAGAATGCTCATTGGGCGGTATATTGGGACCGCTACGCGTTTTTCATTCGTGTGATCTCCTTATGTGTTATGCACTGCTGTCGATCATATTTCGAACCCCTTCTTAAACATGTGCGATGTTTACGAATATTCAAAGCGTGATATTCTACAGTTAATCCAGAATGTTTGCTTTTGTGTAGCCGTTGCGATGTTGATTGTCGGTTGCCGGTTGCATGAAATTAAATCACAAGTTTGGCTCTGAATGTTAGGGTTCCTGCATTTTATGGAAAGGCGTTATAAAGCTTCTTTTTTTTTTTTTTTCAGGACTCAAAGATTACGTTAGATGAGTACAGAGCTCAGCCTGACAATCCTGCCGCTATTGAACTTGGAAACATGTTTGAGTTCTATAAACGAGGAAACCCAGACCGTGACATAAGATTGACTAAGAAGCTGAATGAAGAAACTCAGAGGTTTGACGTGTGGGTTAGAGAAAATAAAGCCATGCTGGAGGAGGCTTTCTCCAAGAAACAGTGAATCAGAATGATAGGACAGATGAAATCTGACATGTTCCTTACAACCAGTCACACTCGCACAGTAATAGGCACTCCCTTCTGTCAGGTCATTTAGACTTAACGTAAACGGGAAATGCATACGAAGGATAACCCAACTTATTCACTTAAATCCTGGAAATGTCCTTCGCCAGCCGTTTGAATTTTATTGATTAGCTTGTAGCATTGCTAACAATAATTACCATCACCAATATCTATACCTAGTCTTTAAATAAAGGATACGCATTTTAAAGTATTGGCTGTGATTTTTTCAAATTGCACATTATTTTTTCCTAATCGCCATTAGCAGGAGTAGTAGAGTTTTAAGTACTTCCTGTTCCCACATGGAGCCCGAAAAAACCTGTTCCAAGGTTTTACCACACAAAAGAACTTCCCCTCGCACCATCTTTTCAGAACACGAACAGCCTTTTGCGAGGAACAAGTGTCCTTGTATGTGCTTCCACAAGCTCTGTCACCCTCAATGTACCCATAGTGTACCCAGTGAATTCGGATCCGTCGAAAAAGACCGCACTTAACTATTCTGCCCATATTGTTTTCGCACAAAACCAAACGTTTTCCTGATAGAAGGAAAAAGAAACTAGTGAATTTCATTCTTGTTTTCTATTCTATTAAAACAAAAAGAAAATTGACTTGTACTGGAGATGCCCTGCAGCCAATTTTCCATTTTTTTTTAATTTCAGACTTAAACCTTCAAACCCCAAATCATTTATTCAGTCTTTCCTGTCAATAGTACGCAGGAAAGTTCACTTAGTAGCATGTTATGATGTAAGTCTATTATGAATATTTTTTTTGCAAAGAGCGATAAAAAGCGATTCACTTCAAACATCCCAATGCTTGATAGACAATGTGCTTTCTTTAAAGCGAGGTACTAGCGCTATTTTTCTCACAAATTGATTGAAAACATAACAATTTCGCGTGAGTTTCAGTAAACAATGTCGCAAGATGCTCGTCATTCCTCATTTCCGTTCTGAAAAATGAACGCAAACGTAAACAGGGTTGGAGAGTTTGCAGCCAGAGAATGAAGCGCTCAAGAGGAAACTTTTCTGCATCCGCTTTGCCACTTCGTCGTAAGTGACCTGAACTGAATAAAAAATCCAACATACCGCGGGGGCATGAGAACGTGTTGCAACTCCGGGACATTGAGCCTTGTCCTATACATGGCTTCCCATGATGCTGTGGGAGAGGGTGAGTACAAGTTCTATATCTAAGCTGAGTGCCCCCACCACAAGTTCGCTGACAACTGCTCCAATTGTTCCATGGGCTCCAACCACCATTAACTGCGTAAATAGCAATTACGACTATTATTACACAAACGTAATCCATATAATTTGTGCCCTTCTTGCTTCTAACCTCATTGCCTCACTTACTCGCCGTTTCGTTCGTTCTATTAATAAATTTTGAAATGGCTATACCTGGACAGGGCTTTAAGTTACAGCTTTGTGTCACCATAGAGACCCCGACACAGTCAGTGCCACCATGTGCCGGAGAGGGATTATTACAGCTACGTTTACGTCTCTGGACGCCACCTTTACAGCTTACAGAGCATACGTTCCAGGCTTGCCAAGAGCCCCACTGACCATTCACTGTGAAAACCAAAGCAACACAAGCTTGGGATTTATCCTTCTCATTTACGTTGCATATGAAGTAAAACAAATGAGATTATTGCTTATAATTATTTCAAGCTGAGTGAACTATATCTAACGGAACTAAAAAAAGGGCTACAGTGTTCTCGGTGAAAAGATTCTCGGCAGTTGTTTGGTAGCAAACGAGAGAATTATCGAAGGTTTTGCCGTCATTATATTATTCCTCAACCTAAATTTTATTTTTCGTTATCTAATGCAGCTACTATCATTATATAATGTTCACAAACGCCCAGCTATATTTTTCAACTTCAGCTTGGAGATCACTACATTGGTATATACTTACCGGCACAGGTTGGGTGAAAGAAAATGAATTTATCGTGGTTACGTAACCTAGTGTGTGGGGTGTTGCATGGTATGCAAAAAATACTGCATAAGAGTCAGTGCGTTTATTGTATTATTAGTTGTTTGCATGTAATGTTTTGAGCCTTTCAGAGTGTCTGTAATTTTGCTTGCAAGACATAATAAAGAGGGTCGCACACAGCTCATGTCGACACACCCCAACTTTGGTTGCTTATAACATGATAATTGTTTTATATTCGTTTAAGCGGGGTAGCGAATTAGAATATAAGCAACATTATCTAACATAGAAGTGGTTTGACCTGGGCAGAATTGTAAACTGCAAGTCTGGACTTCACTGGCATTCCCTTTACATGGGTCACCACCGTTTGCTGGTGCTGGGTTTTTACATTTACGCATGCGTCTCTGTAAACCATCATCGCATGTTTTTGAACATGAAGACCAAGCAGACCAGGCAGACCAATTTCCATTCACTGAGAAAGTAAACACATCATAACAGTAGGCCAGAGGAACAAATAACTCAAAAGGTGGAGAGTGAACGTATTGTTTTACTTCCTGATAATTACAAATTAGCATTTTCTTCTCACAACAAACCTGGGCATTTATTAACATTACACCCCTTAGTTTCCTTGGTAACCCCCTGGCAGGGTTTTCCACTATTTGCTGGCGCTGGATTTGTGCAACTACGTTTGCGCGTCTGAAGACCACCACCGCATGTCTTAGAACAGGGAAACCATGTAGACCAAGGAGACCACTTGCCGTTCACTATACAAAGATAAAAACAGCGACACAAGGGTTAATCCAACTGATTGGTAATCATTCTTTGATCGCTAAACTATGAGGCTATTAACAGATGTACTGTGAGTGTCTGAATTCCTGCCGTCAATTCGATGATCATAATCGAAGAACGCTATCACTGCAACTTAAAATTTAAATCCATTTAATGCAAACCTGGGCATAAGTTAAGATTGCATTTTTTGGTTTCTACGGCCTCTCCCATACAGGCTTTTCCACCATGTGCTGGTGCTGGATCTGAGCATTCACGCATGCGTTTTCGAAAGCCTCCGTCACATGTCTTCGAACAGGAACCCCACGAGGACCAGGGAGACCAGTTGCCGTTCACTAAACAAAGATGAGAATTAATCCAGCCAATTAGTAATCAGTCAGTCGGTCAGTCGACTTGTGAGGCTGTTTACACGTGTTCTGTGCGTGTCTGAATTCCTGTCAATTTGATAATTAAGATCAAAGAACCTTATCACTGCAAATTAATTTTTTAAATGCAAACCTGGGCATAACTTAAGATTGCATTTTTTGGTTTCTATGGCCTCTCCCATGCAAACTTTTCCACCATGTGCTGGTGCTGGATCTGAGCAGTCACGCATGCGTTTCTGAGAGCCTTCGTCACATGTCTTCGAACAGGAACCCCACGAGGACCAGGGAGACCAGTTGCCGTTCACTGAATACGAAGATGATTTATGTAAGAAAAGTGAATATCTTGGAAAGAAATGTTTTGAGTAGAGGATAACTTAAAACGACATTTTGTGGTTTCATCTGACTCAGTTCGAACCTGGACATAATAGCAGAATACATGCTTTAGTTTCCATGGAAACCCCCGCTTGGCAGGGCTTGCCGCCATTTGCTGGCGCTGGATTTGTACAACCACGTGTGCGCTTCTGGGAACCTTCATCACACGTCTTTGAACAGGAAGACCACTTAGACCAAGCCGACCAATTACCATTCACTATCAAAATGGACAAAGAAAGGTTAATGAGATAATGACCATCGCGATGGTGCAATTTTGGGAATCAGGAAATAAAGTTGCTCTGGTTAAAAAAATATCTGACTGAGGTTGTATAAAAGCATCACAGCCGTGAACCGTAAGGTGCGCGCTAAACGTTCGGTCAGCGGGTAAGGAGGGAAACATTCAGCTAACGTGCAACATCATTTATTTTAAATTGAGTTGCTTGGAAGGGCTATATGCTTTACTCTTATTAATGGGTAGAAACCATAATAAATCGAAAGAAGATTCAAATCATGATACTTGGCAGCCTCCTGTCTTTTTTTGTTTGTTTGTTTGGTTGTTTAGGCCCATCCCAAAGGTAATAATACGCTCTAATTTTATCGTCTAACCCTTTCTCTTTTAATATGGCTCTTATATTTTTTGCCGTTCAATATACTCCTTGGTATATACTTACCAGGCTTAAGCTTGTAAACGAAGCTTGTGTAAAGCTTTCCAACCCCATAGTTATTTACACCAATCCTACAGTTGCGGGATTTACCAGATATATCGTAGGTAAGTGACGCATTCCTTCCTATACGAAAAGAAATATTTTCTTCGTCTATATTATATTTTTTTCCAATCAGTTTTTTCGCCATCTAACAAAGCCTTACATTTCAAATAAGAACATCACCAAGCAGGTTAGAATCTTATTATCAACCGAAGAAGAGTTTTTCACTATTCATACGGTGAATGTTAGTTTTGTGTGTATCACAAAGTCATAGCAGAGTGGATTCCTTTACTTGAAGATAAAAAAAAACCTTTTGCATTGAATTAGTTCGAAAGCATCAAATACTGTGAATGCTTTACAAGTTCTCCTCCTCTCCTTCCCCTTCCCCGGGAAAATTTTCAAAAAAGAACACCACGCGAAAAAAAATTCATTTGAGCGACATAGCGACTCAGCATTTGGCTAAATTCTTGTATTAAATGGCATATAATAGTTTCTGCTTAAAAACCTTGTAGGTTTTTGTACCATAGAGGTCCATACCAAATACAACATTCATTAAAGCTTAACAACAGTCAGTTTAGGGAAATATAATGATAGGCCTATTTGCCTTCAGTTAGTTATTTTTTTAAATATCTAGAAGCCCCTACTAACTCTCTTCGAATGCTGACTGCAGCAAAGAGATCACTTATAGATAGAGAGCTTTAAAAACGAGTATCACGAAGCCGAGTTAAACTGCACATGCCGGCACCATATTAACTGCTGTTAAGTTTAACTACTAATCTGTGGGATACTGCATCCTCTAAAACTCTTAGGTCCGCCAGAGTAGTTTAAACACACACAATTGTTCCATTTGAAAATGAAAGTTACCTCCCCAACACTCATGTTGATATTGTATTCCAAAACAAGAGTAATTTCTGATTTCTGCCTGTTTGCTGCAAGCCTTTGCCAGTGGTTTTAGGTTTGGCCAGAGTTCATTAACGTCCAGGTCAGTTGGGGTGTAGAAATGGACAGGAAGAGCACAGTGATCAAAGTTGTTATAACATCCAATGGCTTCCCACTCATCAACTGTA